TTACTGCGTGAGCTTAGAATGAATGTACTCCATGTCCCATCCTTCCCATCAATGCCACCTGATGAAGCCGTTGTGTTATTAATACAAGTTAAAACAACTGGGACATTTTTTGACTACCTCTTGATTGGTTTTGTTCATTTTCTCCTTTTCATCATATGATTGGGAGGAGGAGAGGGAATGTTTTCTTACATTTAATGGTTGTCTTTAGCTCTAATATAATAATTATAATATCAGTACAAATGAAGAAACAGAAGTTTTTTCCCCTTAACATCAAAATTCTAGTGTCTATTTTATAGGTTCTTTGGTTCATTTTTGTTTGATGTTTGTTTGTTTCTGCTTTGAAATACTATCCTATAATGTAACTATCAGTTTATTCCACCATTTCCACTCCACCTACCCATTCACTATTGATAAATGAAATATTTTATTTAGGTTGTATAATATAATTTGATGTCACCTGATTGGAGATGTGCCATTTGTATATTAAGAGAAGAAATATTTGTAATCAGGACTTGAAAGACAATCTAACCAACTATTAAGAAAGTCACTATGATTTTAATATACCGTAGGAAATATAATTGTATTGTATGTAGTCAGATTCAACATACTGGAATTAGTATGAAATCTTGCAAAGATTTATATCTAAATAATAGAATCTATAATCACAACCTAAGTCAGATGCTTAATTAGTTATTTGAAAGTTTGGGGAGTTGTTCAACTTTTATTGCAAAAGTTTTTAGCTAAAACCTTTTCTTGTTGTTGTTGTTGTTGTTGTTGTTATTGTTATTGTTGTTTTAACACACTGTTACCATTTCCTCTATTTCAGATAATTAATTAGCTAAATTGTAATGCACAGGTATAAGAAGCAGAAATAAGCAGTGTGGGCAGATGGAATAAATCCCACAAATAAATTTTAAAAATCTCCAAAATAGCCAATGATCCTTTAACAGCCAAGAAAATGTTGATTGAATGAGAGTGATGAATACTAAACATTATACAAGAGAAGGGAAGGTGGGGAACCAGAATAAGAATTGCTGGAAATATGCAGAAAAATCACACTTAGCATTTTTATCCACATAGCAAGTCCTTTCCAAAGGATTGGCAGATGTTGTTTTTTAATAATATTAAAAGTATCATTGCAGGATGTAAGTTTTTCCAAGTTTAGTGCCTTTTGCAATTGATTAATGGTGATTTAATTAATGTTGATGGTGTTCACGGGTGCTCTAGTTGTTTTGGGACTGTATTCAAGATGCCTATTACTATTGGTGCTATTATGCTTTCTTTTGTTATAGTTGTTCTATTATTATTATTGTTGTTGTTGTTGTTCTTGTTGTTGTTAAATTATGATTGATCACACAGTCAGCCAGCTTTTAGACTCGATTTGGCATTTTTATCCACCTATTGATTCTATCCCAAGGACTTGGGATAAGCAGATGTTGTTGAATGGTGTTTATTATTATTACTATTATGTATAAGTAATCTACTGCTAGATCAACAGTCTTAAAACGTAATAATTCAAGTACTAACAAAGGACCTAAATATTATTAAGATAAAGGAAAAGGAAAAGGTTCCCAAGTCTAGTAGGCAGTTCTCATCTCCATTTCTTAGCCGAGAGACCAATGTTGTCTGAAGACCCTTTCCATAGTCATCTGACCAGCATGGCTATATGCCAAGACACATAGAACACTGTTACATTCTTATCGAAGCACATATGAGTAGATAAATAGATGCATGCTTTCGAATTGATAGGTGGGCAATGGGAGCTTGTACCATCAAAGGGCACTTGGATCTTGAACCCAGGCTGCCAATTTTTCAGTTGACAAGCTCATTGTCTTTAACTGCTGATGCCATTGCATTTATTATTAAGATAGCATCTAAGAATATAGGCAGTTTCAATCAGGGGGCTTTTTTGTAAAATTAGAGTGCTCAAATCGGATAAATTCAATATTTCCAGATTTTGAGGAAGTCCTTTTGGTTTTGCTCCAATGACTCCAATCAAGATTGGTGTAACATTTAAAAAATAATAATTCAACTTTGATCTGCAAGTCCTTATATTTCATATTTTCCCCATTTCTTTTCTTCGATGCTAAAATCACTCTCAATAGCAACATCAGTGAACCAGGTTTACCTCTTTTAAATCACTGTTTTATCAGGCATGTTATGAACAAAATACCTGTCTGTTTGCATAAAGTTCATAAGATCTTAACCCACTCATTTTCTAAACCCTATTCAATTCCAGTAGTTTTTACTACATTCAAATTCAAACTTCAGGCAAAGTTTCCAATTAATAATTTTGGCAACTCATTTGTGACTGCTTGTAGTCAGTTTGTGAAATTTCACTGCAGCCACTGATCAATTGTTTCATCCTTTTTATTAGAAAGATGGCGTTTGCTGTTGTCAGTTACTGTAAGATTTTTGCCTTCATATAATTAGTTGTCAAAGTATGTTCTTGAGCCACTAAAATAAAGACTTCAGCTTCTTTAACCCTGATCTTAACAAACTCCATGTGGGTTTTTTAATCAGCTATTTTAATCCATCAAGTATTAACCATGCAGCAGCTTGTTCTTCTAATTAACAAATTTGTTTCCAATTATTTCTTTTCTGTATTCAGCCTTCATTTTTGTTATTTTCAAGAGCTTTCCTTGATTGACGTCCTTAGCAAGCGTTCTTGGCTCTTCTTAATATGGTCATTAAGGCCATGCTTTTCTTCCTGCTTTACCTGTAGAAGTCTTCTATTCCATTCAGCTTTTGGCAAATACAGTAAAACAAAATCACTTTTTGGATTATTATTATTATTATTATTATTATTATTATTATTATTATTATTAT